CCAGAGCGGCGTAGCGGTGAGCGGCGAGCGGTAGCCCAATAAAAGCCATGCTTCACTAATGATGTCACGCAAAAGCGTGGCTCTCATTGGGCTACCGCTTGTCGCTCACCGCTGCGCCGCTCTGGTCTGTAAGCTCCTTTACAAGAGCAAACCCGCGTCTAGAAGAAGTTTTTAGTAGCGAAATCGCTACGTCACTTCTAGCGTCACTAGACGCGGCTTCTAGCGAGTAAAAGTCGCCCCGTGTAAATCACGCTTTAGGTACATTTTCATGGGCGTTAATAGACGCACGTCAAGGGCTGCGTTCCACTTAACGCTCGCAACGCTCGCGAGCATCGTTTGTCCTTGTTTAACATTTGATAAACGAGAAGGATGAAATGATTCCGCGAGCGTGTGAGTGTTAAGTGGAACGCAGCCAAGACGATTTTATGACGTCATGTCAGTTTCAGCGTCGATGTTTAGAAGTTCAAATTTTCGAACTTATAAGCGTTGTCAGCATGAAAAGACGCCTTAAGACCGAACTTAAACCAGACATTTCATGAAATAGCCTTCAGAGTCGACCTCACCAACTTAGATTAACCTAATCGATCGATTTATGTCAACCGTGATTGGTCAATTCTGTTGAACAGTAAATACGATTGGTCAATTCCAAAAAAAAAACAATCTGTCTATGGCGCTCTCGGCGTTTCTATGTTGAAAATGGCTGCGTTCAGCAGACTCAACAGTTTTGCAACCGTTTTATGATTGTCTGCTGAGATAGGACCATTCTTCTAGATCTAAAAGTATGATCCAATTAACGCGAAGGAAACTTCCAACAGTTGCAAAACAAACGTTCTGCTGAACACAGCCAATGAGATACGAAAACAGTTCTATGATCACTTGCACTGCGCATGCGTTAAATTTTATTCGAATTGGCGTTTTTTTTAATATCGGAAGAAATTATAACCTATAGTCTCAATGAAGGTCGACGAAACAGACGTAATAGGAGTCTATTCTGGTACATACTTTTTTTATTTTTATTAGATATCTTTTTGTATTTCAGCGAAAATTGATTAAGTTTCTCTATTTTCTTTATATGTCTGACTTTAATTTTATTTTCCAAATTGTAATCTATGAAAAATTTCTTCTAACGGTCTCAAAGGATAAAGATGTTAGTATTAAACCGGTCAGTATTAATTAAAATAAATAATAATTGTATCGCAAATAATAAATATTTTTTACTTAAAGATTCGAGAGAGGACAGATACTCAAAATGATTTCGTTCAAATGGATAATTATCTACGGTTCGCTGGCACCATTTTTTATTATGATCACTCTGCTGTACATTCTCGGAGTTACGAGATATGTCACTGACTTTGAGGAGAATACTTGTGAAATGACGTATATGTTTGAGTACCCGCAGTATGTGGTATGTGGACTTGTAAATCATATACGACTACAATATCTTCTAACTTTATACTAATTTTGATGAACCATTGGAGATAGCCTGTTATAAGAATAGAGATTATATTTTAATCCATGTGTTTATTTAGAATCCTTAAGTTTGTTTTTATTACTGTACTAGAATTTTTTCCTTTTCGTCTTTGTCAAATTTTATATATAAAGAAATATATACTTATTTCACTTTAAATAAAAAATATATATTGATTTAATTATAAAAAAAACAGACCTTTAATCTATTAAGTAATATTAAGTTTGCTTTTTTCAATTAGATTTATCAGAGTATTTACTTGCTTTATTTTTCCACCAGAACATGAAGAAATGATAATAAGTTTTTTTATTTATTAAATATAAAAACAAGAAATATTTTTAGTGGAATGCTGAATATGTTTAAATTTTTTGTGAATTTTAAGTAATTTAATATATTTCAGAGAATATCTTTGAAAAATGATATAGAAGAGAAATATCCGCGGTTTAGATTGTATGCCTATGGAGAAGGCATTTTGACTGAAAAATTAAGAAGAATGCATTTTTCTGGTATACCAGTTCTTTTCATACCAGGCAATGCTGGATCTCATGAGCAAGGTTTATATCACTTTAATAATATATTAGCGACTTAGTTTGATGATAGATTTTGATTATTTCAAAACAGATTCAAAAGTTTATTTATGTTTTTTTCTTTTATTTTAGTACGATCTATTGCTTCAGTAAGTTTAAGAAAAAGTCGCACAACTTCCTTTCACTTTGACTTTTTTACCATTTCATTCAATAAGGATTATTCTGCATTGTATGGAGGTATGACAAAAAAATAAAAAATTATAAAAAAATTATTAATATATCAATACTTATGTACATAATACTAACTGCTGCTTTTTATTAATGCTAGGTATGCTTATGCAACAAACTACATATGTTTCACATTGTATAAAGGCAATACTAGCGTTGTATAAGGGCAAAATGGACAATGTTGTATTGATTGGTCATTCTATGGTAAAAAACACAGATATATGCTATAAAAAATGATTGAAATTAACTGGCATTTCTTTCAGGGTGGTATTGTAGCAAAAGGAGCTCTATTACTAGCACCAAATATGAACGCGTCGTTAGCAAATATGATAATAAATTTGGCTACTCCTCATACTCCCTTCTTAGTTTTTGATAGTATCTTTGCCATTTATTATTATACATTGGAAAGACGTCTGCATAAAATTAAGGATGCAGGAGTAAAGGTAGTGTCAATTGGAGGTGGACCACGTGATATACTTGTACCTTCTATACAAGCTTTCGATCGCATGGCGGATATAAATGTTCTTTCCACGAGTGTACCAGCTGTTTGGAAATCCACGGATCATTTAAGTATTCTATGGTGTAAACAATTAGTATTTGTAATTGTGCGGTCGCTATTTGATTCTGTGAATTATTTAGAAAAACCGCCTAAAATTACATCGAATCCTGATTTAAAAATGAAGTCCTTGTCTTATCACTTTTTAAAAGTAAGTAATTATTATGGATGCTAAAATCAAGATTTAATCAACTCAGTTATTTATATATAATATCGCATAATCACAAAAAGATATTTAATAATCTTAAATTTTGGAATTGCTAAAATTAATGAATTTTAATGTATAAAATTTCAGCACACTTCCGGCAAAAAATTGTATCATTATCCAGACAAAGTTCGGTTTGAAACCGATGCTGAATGGATAAGTGTACCTCAACAGTATGTCTGGAATAATAACGGAATTAAGAGATCATCCGTTATATATCTTGTGGTGGAACTATTTCATAAATCTGATTTCTTAACCATTGATACAATAAATTTACAAAGCAAGGATTGGCTGTTTGTGTGCACAGCATTAAAGAAACAAGAACAAAAAAGAATTTGGTAATATATACTTCTTGAATTATATACTTTTACTATGAAAAAATTATTATTTATTAATAAGTTTTAATATATGTATTTTTTAGTGAATGGGGTTGGAGTTTGACAAATTTAACAAGACTTTTACCTGATCCTTTATATCGACCAAGAAAGACTGTAGATTTAAATCTAAGAGAGATAAAATATCCACACATTACGCATGCCATTGTGAAATTAACTTCCGATGATTTAGAGAAACAACTTACAATCAATTTTGACTCCTATTTTTACAATAATCGAATGGAATCTACAAGAAATAGATTCTTACATCCTAAATATCTCTTTGGCTTCCGTGGATCTAATTTAATTGAAACCATCAGGGGAAGTGTAAGATATTATATAACACTTCCCAACATCATAGACGCAGTCACAATCGAGTTCAAATCGCCGAATTGTGTTAAGCATCATGCTATTGTCGAGTTAGTAGAATCGTCGAATGTAGGATCGACTCAATCAAAAATCTTCACGAATACGTAAGTGTGTTTCATAATAAATCGAACTTCGTATAAGCTCTTTCTACATATATTTAATTACAATGCAGAGACAATGGTCCGAAAACGATGAAAATGCAGACTCTCTATGGACATTTCAATGATACAGCAAGTTTAAGAGTGACATTAGAACCAGAATGCATTTATATGATCAATATTCAACCTGGAGGAATCATCGATAAAATTTCGTGTAGAGTACGGGATCGGTGGCCATTGCTTTACACGGCCATTATCAGTTTACTCCTTCTTTTCGTTTCTTTAAGGATACATTACAGTTCAGATATGCTACCGACAATAATCATTACCATAATATTATCGTTTGTCTTCAACGTTACTTACGAAACTTGCATCGCTTTATGTATTATTGGTATATCTGCCATCGGTGTATGTTGCTCTGTCATATTTCTTGGTTCTGTTGCACATGGAATAGCTGTCAGGTACAGTTCTTTTATTTATACTAAAATAAAGATATTCTCTTGTATTTAATTACATATTGAAAAAATGATCAAATTGATCGATTAAAATATTTTTATAAGTTATATTCTTTGTAGGTTCTTAGCACGTGCAATAGCGTTCTCAATAACATGGTCAGACTGGTTATTGAATGGTCTAACTCAGCTACCACATATTACAACTTTTTTCGTACAATCTCTAATTCCAACAACGTGCGCAGGTCTTGGTATGCTCATTTCGGTATTTCTTCACTTTTTGAAATTAACAAGGATGTACGAAAATTATTTAGAGGAAATATTATTGGCCCCACTCCAACATTTCAATTGGTTTAAACGTTGGAAGAATACAAAAAATGAAGA